TTCCCTAACCTGATCGGCAGCCTTTGAGCACTGAGTGGTGGACCATAGGGACCTGTAGATCCTACGTCTGCGAAACTTTTTGCATTGATGTTTCATATAGCAAGTATGCACAGGCTCTCGTAGCCAAAGGCTGGCACTTGCTTAGATTCAGAGGTAGGCCCCACTGGACCGACCATCGATGGACTAACTCTAGATCCCTGTGCAGGTTCAACCCTGTCATTTTGACATCATCTCATCATCATCATCATCGTCGTACAGCGAAATACAGTGAAGCAAACTTCACTGATCGCTGCCAAACTCNAACTCGCAATGCATACAAGGTTAGTGGTAAAATTTAAGGTGGACAGGGATTGGATCTATTTTGAGGGAGGAAGGAGAAGGTGAGTCACTATCGTCAACACACAGACTATGCAATCGAACTCTGCATACAAGCATTCTGACCTCATAAAAAACGACAACAAGAACTCCACTGCTCTCGATTCACTGCCATATCCTTCAATGTCTCCAACCAACCAGTTGTGGATTCTTTCGGACCTGGAAGGCTCTGTACATTTCTTCATGCCTCGTCTCCACGTGGTTTCCTCCAGCCCGGATTAGACACAGTGAACAAAGCGCGGTGCGGCAGACGATGGCTGGGCATACGCAATACGTGCCCTAGCCAGCGAAGCCTAGTAATCTGAATTCGGTGTGCTAGCAGGTTTATACCTGATACACCCCCAAACACGACGGATTACCTCCACTTTACTAACCCGTTCGCTACATCCAACATGGGCTAAACTGCGTAAACACAGACAATCGAAAACTTCTAGTCGACGGATATCTTCTACTCGCACATTCAAGGTCTCACAACCATAAAGCAGAACTGAACGAACGGTGGCACAATATACACGACATTTCAGTTTCAGTGAAACGTCGCATCTACGCCAAAAGTGTTTAAATCCTGCGTACGCTGCTTGAGCCTTGGAAATGCGGGCGGCTATCTCTTTTGCTGCGCTACTGTCATTGGTCAAGCAAATACCCAAAAAGGAAAAATAATCCACTATAACTAAATCCTGACCATTTAGTTTTAGAGCGGAAGTAGACGAAACCCAGTCCTGCAGCATCACTTTGAAGGTGCAAAGCACACCGAATGTGGCTACTGCACTTTTTAGTCTATCAAGTGCGTTTTGCGCGTACTCCATACATTCGAACAGACTGACGATGTCATTGGCTTAGTCTAAATCGCACAGCTTTTCTCCAACTGTCCATTCAATACCCGTAGTGAGTTCTCCAGTATTTCGTCGATGACGAAATTGAACAGGAACGGCGAAAGAGGGCACTCTTGACGAACGCCGCTGCTGGTGACCAATAGCCTACTTAGTTCGCTGTAGACCCTTACACAACGGGAGGCATGTGAGTACAGTGACCTCGAAGAAGACAGCCCATCAGAGCTTCGCGATCAACTGAGTCGAAGGCTCCTTTCAGGTCAAGGAACAGTGCGATCGTTCGCCGACGTGTGACGCAACGTAAAAATTTGATCAATACATCCACAACCAGGTCGGAACTGGAGTTCGCCGACCTCCCGTATTGCGTATTGGTCAGAACAGCCTTTGACTATTCCCTGATGCTGCTGCTACTCCCATTTCACTAGCTATTGTTACCCACCAGTTCTCACGGTCCTTCTTGAGGCTCTTCGTGAGCCGACGTTGTAGCTGCCACCTAACTCTATTTTGATCCTGGCAGACCGGGACTTGCCGTTTTTCCTCCATCAGGGCTACTGACTCAGTTTCAGTTCA